TTCCAGAACAGCTGTGGACACCAAAATCCATGGGTGCTCCAGGTCCTGATGTACCGTGTGGTCGTGTTTGAACGTATTTTCCTCATAATACCTACTGTCATGTCAATGCTGTGTAAACCGCTCTTAGACAGTAAAAAGCCTATGCATGCTCAGCACAGATGTGATTTTCTTTCCGATTATTTTTCTATTCACGGTTGGGCGGATATGTGGGTGCTCATCAGGTCCCTCATATGAATGAGGTGTTATGTGCATGTAACTTACACATATCCTCCCATATACTTCAAACCATGTCTGCATTATTTATAAAACCTAATGCTATATAAGCAGTATTTATACTGCATTGCTCAGGGAAGAGCAACAGGGAGAAAGTGTGTCCATGTGCAGTAAAATGCAATTTTTTAATAGTCTGGATCCATGATGCATTGAATCTGTGGCTGCAGAGGGCTCACCGTGTCCTTCGGATTACACGTCCACCGTCTGTTTTCCCTGTAACGTGGGGACTCCCGCGGGGAATTAGGACTGCATCTGTTGGTCTGAAATCAACCGAGTAAGAGGGAGAACTTGCAAAGTGGACTGAAGCCAACGAGGGCACGGGCGGTGGGCGAGGCTTGTACCCAGCTGGAATGGGGTAGTTGCCTCGTGTAAGATGGAAATCGTACATGAACTAATACTAAAGCAAACACAGATCGGAGATTTGCTGCCGAGAAGTACAGCAGGTGACCCCCCCCCCGGAAAGGCCAGCAAAGCTGACTGCTCCGCAGACAGTGGAGTGGGGTGTCCAAGGAGCATCACAATTATTAATGGGTGTCTCAGGAAGAGGGGGGAGCTTCTAGGAGGAAAGGGAAGGGCTTTCGCACACTTGTGCCAGTTTGCACACAGGTCGAAATGTGCTGGGAGATGTTTCACGTTCCCCCTCTGCGCAGAGGTCCTGCTACGGAGAAACGTGATGGTGAAGGTGAAATGGATTTCCGGGCGCTCGGGCCTCGCCAGCGTCGCTGCACCTGTCTCCCTCTGCTGACCCTCAGGCCCGCCCCCCTAGCTAAGGAGCACAGTGGCTTGTTTGCTTCACGCACGGCCTGGGTTCCTTCTGCCCTCTTATCGCCGAGAGCTGTAGCTGCCTGCTCTCTTCTCTCGGGCGGCTGCTTCCCCATCTTGCCCGTCCAGGGCCGATGGTTCGCACTGGAATCCCCGGGCGGTGCTGAGCAGTGACAGGACCAGTTCCGTGACTCAGCGGCTCAGTGATGGGGGGCGGAGGTGCTGAGCAAGGGAAAGTGTGGCGGCTGCCGAGCCCCGGGAGACCTGACGAGCGGCAAGAGAGGACGAGAGCTGAAGCAGCCGGTGAGCAAGAGCCCTAAGAGCCGGTGACTCAAGGGACGCTTCTCAGGGACACTGTGGTGACTCAGGGGAAGAAAAGAAGCTCTAGAGTGATGACCAGCTTTCTAGACAACCGGCCAGACTGAGACACCACTCGCTATTGTGAGAAGTTCAGGAGCTGGAGCGGGTTTCAGGCAGGTGGGGAAGACGCTGCGGTCTGCTTTAGGTATCTCGTCGGTTTCTGCCGTATACAAACCACCTGAACCTACATGGCTTCAGTCGCTGATGAGCTCGCAGTCCAGGGTGCAGCCCGGGAGGCCGGGCCCGCCTGGGCAGCGTCTCATCCGAGAAGGGAGCCAGCCTCCCGCTCCATTCCCAGCCCCGCTACAGCAGCTGCTCTCCCCGGGCCCAGTAGCAGCCTATTTTGGGAAACAAGGCGAGACCAGCCCCCCGAGGGAAAGAAAGGGCCTCCGCCTATGCCCAGAGCCGGGCCGGGTTTCCGTGGCCCCAGCAGCTCGGGGCACCGTCTCTGCCTGTGCACTGCGGTTGGGGGACATCTCAGAGGCTGCGGGGAGCAGGAGGGTCCTCTTTGCTATGGGCAGAGTCTCCCACTCAGCAGAAATCTCACGCGGCAGGGTGCACCGTGGAGACCAGGAAATGCAAGTCTGTTCTGGTGAGGCGGGGACGCCGGCCTGCTTGCTGCTCAGCCCACTGTGGCTGACCCGAGGCCGGAATGCAGAGGGAACCCCGTCTGAGAACCCTGGGCTACAGGGAGGCAGGCTCTAGAAGGTGACTCTGGGGCTCCTGGTGGGACAGTGGTTACAGTGGAAATGCAGAAATGCGAGCGTGACAGCTGCCCTCTCTGGGAGGACGAGCCCGGCCAAGCTCACCCCCTCACACACGAGGGAGCGGCCAGGGTGGTCGGTGGCCCTCCATGCTGTAAGAAAGCAAGGTCTGGCCGTCCCTCCCCAGAAGCCATGAAAGCTCGAGAAGGGCCACCCCTGACCAGCTGTCCTACCTCCCCGCCCCTCAGCTGTGCCGATAGCGGGGCTCTCCCCTGGGCACACTTTCTACCTTTAAAGAGGAGCGCTAAGGATCCCCGTGCAACTGTCCCTGTCCCCGCCCCAGACCCTCAGATGGAAGCAGATAGGACGAAGGTACACAGAGTCCCTGCCACCTTTGCCGGCCACGCCTGGCCTGCCTGCATGTCCAGACTGTGGTACCCGGATGACAGGGTGGTGTTGTAGAGCCCATAGCAGACTCCAGGCTCTGCGGAGAGCTCGGCAGGGCTTAGGGCCTCAAGAAACAACCTATCTGCTTAGAGCTCAGAGAATTTCAGGGAACTGAGGTGCCCTGGGGGAGCCACTGATCGGGACCCCTATACCCCAGTCCCCAGCCCAGCCCCGGCAAGTGCTGGAACCTCTGAAAGAGTTTGCTACCCAGCTACTAAGTCCATTTATTTTGTGGAGTTTTTTGTTTTGTTTTGTTTTGTTTTGTTTCTTTAGTCCATTTATTTCACACCAACCTGGAGAGAAGCTCCCTCTTCATTGTTAGTGAGAAGAGCAGATTGCAGGGCAAGGTGAACGTCTGTCTGTCCAAGGTGAAGGACCTGCTGTGAGAGTGGGTACCCTGAGGAAGAGGCCGGGCCAGCTGGCTACTCGCCCCTTTGTTTGCGCCTGTTGTTTAAACATTTCAAGATGAGCACTGTCTATTGCCCTGGAGGAACTTTCAGTTAACTGAGGGAGATTCCTGGGTCAGCAGCAGAATTACAATACAAACAGAATACAGCCTCTTGAGAAGTCTAAACTGTCCACCTAGCAAACCCTTTCATTCTTTCTCTCAAGCAGAACTTTTCTGCCCTTCTACACATCTGCTATCTTCTTCCCCTTTACCTTAGTCGCTTTTCCCCTAAAAATAAAAATAAATACATAAAGCTAGGTGGATGTGATGGTACATGCCTATAATCCCAGTACTCAGAAGGCTGAGGCAGGAGGATAGCAAGTTTGAGGCCAACCTAAGATACACGTCTCAAAACAAAAACCAAACCAAACATACACACACACCCTGGCTCCGCTATATCGGCTGGTCACAATTCATGTTCACTTTTTGTTCAGAGATGTTTCGCCTCTGCCCTCTGGTGCTCAGCTCTCCTGAATTGTGTACCCGTGGTGACAAACGCTAAGCTAGAGCCACCTGAGCGAACCGCAACAGAACATTGTTGAATAACGTTTCCCGACTCTGACTGACAGTGCTTTCTCCTCTGAGGGCCGTGGTGTCACTTTCCTCTGCTGGCTTGTCCTTGGTCCTTTCTAAGGAAACCTCTTCCAAGCCAACATCCAGAGCCAGAGGCGAGGAGGTGGGGAACTCGGCGAGCAGATGGGCGTCGGGCAGATGGGCGTCCGGCAGCTCACAGTCCCTGCTCATCCCTCCAGTCCTCCCTCCGGAGGGTTGGCCGATGGCTCCCCGGCTTCCGGAGAGCCAGACCCTGATCTCTCAGCGGAGTGCGCCTTGACCCGTGCCGCTGTCTCTAATGTCCTCTCCAGCCGTTTCTCCGTTTTCCCACGTTCCAGACACCCTGGCTCCTCCTGTCTCAAGCCCGGACTGTTGCTTCTGTCCCGTCTTCTCCCTGCTTTTCCTTCCCTCTTTTTTAATTTTTAGTTGTGCAGTACTGGGGATTGAACCCAGAGCTTTCACACTGTGCTACATTTTTTATTTTTTTATTTTGAGACAAGGTCTTTGGAAGTTTCTAACTTGCCCAGGCTGGGCTGGAGCTTGTGATCCTCCTGCCTCTGCCTCCCAGAGTGTCGGGACTACAGGTGTCTGCCACGCGCTCCGTTAAACGTGGCACGTGGCTCTCTTTCCCCGTCTCCTGACAAGACCAGCTCCTTTTCACGCTAGGATCAACCGCGTCCTTCTTCTAAGCCTTACAGTGTCCCTTCCAGTTTCATTGATCATTATTCAAAATTATCTGGTTTATTTATTGACTTTTTGGCCACCTGGCCATCTCCCCTTGTAGAACGTAAGCTGCAGGTGGCGGGGAGGGTCCTGTTCTCTCGATCACTGTGGATGCTGTGGTGTCTCTAATCACACAGCCACCTAGTGAGTGCTCAGGACATTTGTGTGAAGTGAACGATTAAATAATCACTCAGACCCCAGGGGCCCTCCCCACCTGGGCTCACCAGGAGCGCGGGCTGACTGTGTGTGCCCTGATTGCAGACGGAGTCCTTCAAGCTGAGCGAGCCCTACAGCCAGTGCACAGAGGATGGGCATGACGTGCCCGTGGAGAACATCTACAACGCCTCCTACTCCCTCCAGGTACGGCCCGGCAGGGGCGCCCAGACCCGGGCTGTGGCACGGGGACAAAGTTTGCCCCGGGTATGGCCGGGACCAGGAATTAGCGTGACGATCCCTGGGGCTCGTCCAGACCTCGGGAACAGGTGATGCTGGCCGGCTCCGGTCCTGTTCAGTCTGTTCGGTCCATGTGTAAACGAGAGCTCTGTCCGCCGGGCTGGGCGTGGGACAGAATGTACTGCCGCGGGACGGCCTTCCCCCAAGCCGGCCTTGGCAGGCGCGAGTGAGGGCCGGGCGGGACGGCGCCTCGGGAGACCCTGGCTGAGGGCCCGGCGCTTGGCTTCTGGGCCAGCCTGTGTCCCTCACTTGCGGGTGGCTTGGACACACTGTGTCCCTGCCTCACAGTCACAGGGGACGGCTGGAGCCAGTCGGGGGTGGCTCCTTGGCAGCTGCCGGGTCTCTCCAGCTGCACGCCTGATCTTCCTAACCGGGATGCTACTTGAAAACCAGGGAATTTCACAGGAAAGCACAGATTTCCCACTCCTTTTGAAGAACCAGGTGACCTGGTTCCCACGTGCATATTCCTGTAGGACAGTGGGTGTGAGAAGCTGCCCCTCTGGAGGCCCACGGACCCTGTGGTCCCCACGGCTCTCGCCCCTCCCACCGGTGTACTGTGTCCATCGCTGGCCCCTGTGACTCTGAGGTTTTCAGCCCTGACGTGTGACAAGTTCTTAGGTCTTGTCACATCCTGGGAGTCTGAGATTGGTCTACTACCAGGGCACACACAGAACCCACGGATAAGCCGTCCGGCAGAATAAAGGACTGGGCCACCCTCGTGTGGCATCTGCCAGCTTCCATCAGAATGGCGCTGAGAGACTAGACACAGAGTAAACAGGGACTGTTAGAGACCGTCTGCTTGTAGGGAATAGAAACACAATCAAATGGACTTCAGGGCCCCTTCTCCCCCCAAAAGAGGTAAGCTCATTGGAAAGATGCCATGGACACTTCAGTATGTTGAAGCAGCATGCTCAGAATACTTTCATGGAGCAGGTATTGTACTTATTTCAAAGATGAAGAAAGCAAAGCATCAGAGAGGTTAAGTGACTTGCCTAAGGACACACAAGGGGTATGTGGCAAATGTGCAATTTGAACTTGAACGGCCTGACCTCACAGCCCTGGCCACTGGCTTTCATGTTAGAAGCCTCCTGGATAGTGTGACAGCAGGTGATCCTCAAAGATCCGAGATGGAAGTTTTGGGTCTGAAAATTGGACTCTGAGCACTATTTCTTAGAAACTGCTTCAATTTTCCCATTTATTCTTTGCCACCATTCACGTGATAGAAAATGACGATCCTAGCCCCCATGGGCTCCCTATTTCAGTCTGAATTCTCAGTCCTTTTGGAGTCAGGGCACCAGCCCTGGTCCAGGTGGCAGAAAGGCCCCTTCACACAGTCGTCACAGCTGCGGGACGGTGAACATCCACAGGGAGAGACGCGGACGGGGGAGCCCCCCGGCGTCACGTGCAAGGAGCTTCAGGGCGTCCCTGGGTTTCCTCTTCCAGATCTGCCTTTACTCGTGCTTCCAGTCCAAGATGGTGGAGAAGTGCGGGTGTGCCCAGTACAGCCAGCCGCTGCCGCCCAACGCCAACTACTGCAACTACCAGCAGAACCCTAACTGGAGTGAGTGCCGCCTGCCCCCGCCCCGCACGCCCCATCCCCGCAGCGGTCTGGCCTCAGGCACGCCTGGCCTTTCCCTTGAGGGAGGTATTGGCTGTCTAAAGCTAGACTTTTGCTACTGTTGTGAAACCTGGCTTAGAAGGTGTCTCCCAGTGAAGGACCGGCCCGGCCCGGGGTAACAGCTTGACCACCTCCCTCAGCTCCACAGGTACTATGGACAGTGTCCTTCTGCAGGACCGATGACCCAGAAAGCTTAGGCAATTTGCCGAAGGCTGTCCAGCCGGGGAGTAGCGTAGCTATGCCCCAGTGGACCCCGAGCAGAGACTGCTGGCCCCTAACTCATGTTCTTAGCCGCCGCCAGCACATGTTGTTTCCCAGCGTCACGAACCAGTGTTTGTTTCCAGAGAACCAGTGTTTGGAGACAGTAGGAGGGAAAATAACTAAGAGTGTGAGGGCTCCACGATGACTCAGGGGCCCCCAGGAAGGGCCCCGTGGGCCCAAAGCTCATGCTGCTTCCCCCGTCTCTCAGTGTATTGTTACTACGAGCTGTACCAGGCCTTCGTTAAGGAAGAACTGGACTGCCAGGCGGTGTGCCGGGAAACGTGCAGGTGGGTGGACCTGGGGAGGGCGGGGGTAGGCAGGGGTGGGGCGGGGCCGGGCCGGACAGGGCCAGGTGCCCACGCTCACTGTCCCCTCCTCCCCTAAGATTTAAGGAATGGACACTGACCACCAGCCTGGCCCAGTGGCCATCTGAGGTTTCAGAGGTAAGTTTACTGCCCCCTCTGTCCCCCGGCTGGGATGTTTTCTATCTCCTGGCTCTGGGGGTGGCCCGAGGGAGGGAGGTGTCTCACTGAGTCCAGGGGAGAAGGGGTGGCCAAGGAGGCAGGGAAGATGGACATCCCCGGGCCCACTCTTCCCTTGTCTATCACAGAAATGGTTGCTGCGTGTTCTCACCTGGGACCGAGGCCAGCAAATAAACAAACAGCTCAACAAGTAAGTCTTCCCCCGTCCAGTTTCCTCTGCCTCTGTCCACCGAGGGCGCAGCCTCTCGGCTCGTTCCCTCTTTGCCAAGCCCTCTCCTTTTCATTCAGTCCTTTATTCAGCAAATATTTACTGAGCTCGGATCATGAACCAGGCCCGGCTCGCACGTTTGTTTGACCTTCACCCACAGTACGAAATGCTCTTTACATTCTGGCCCATTGAAGATACCACTGAAACAAGGCGTGTGATAATATTTCATTGTGCTGTACAAAGCAGTCGGCCTGATTTTCAGACGATACATGTCGGAATGGACAGACCGATCGTTTGCCTTCCTCTCTCAGTATCCTGGGGGGATTAGTTCTGGGGTTCCAACCCCCCATGGATACCAAATAGCTGGGATGTTCAAGTCCCTTGTGTAAAACGGCTCAGAATTTGCATCAAACCTACCACATCCTCCACTCCGGTGACGTCATCTCTAGATTACTTACGATACCTAATACAAGGTAAATGTTTGCAAATTGTTGTGGTGCTGAATTGTCTAGGGAGTTCTGAAAAGGAAAAAGCCTCTACTACGCACTCAATCCAAAGGCAATTTTTTTCTGAAAATATTTTATCCATGGTGGGTTGAACACACAAGTTGAGAACCATCAGGAAGGGGGAGAGCTGAGTCTCCACTCTGATTGGTCACAGCACACTGATTCATTAGCGCCTCTGCCTTCCCGGTTGGTCAATGCTTTGAATATCCTTCCGCATGTGTTCTGATATTTACTGTTCTGCTTAGTCTTATAAAAGATACTGGTCATTGTCCAGTAGATTTATTTCATGGCTTTCTAATGTATTCTGACCCATTTGGAAAAATACTGCTCTGAGCCTTGAAACTTCTAATCCTTCTTGACTTTTTGACAAAGAAAATCATTTCTGATGGGAGATGGGGAGGATGAACTCGCACCTGGGACTCGCGTTTCTCCGGGCCATCGCCAGGGCTGCCCCCGTGGGAGCCCATCCTGGCCGCAGCATCGATTGCCTGCCCGCTAGGTATCGGGTGCTGTGTCAGCAGCTGGGGGACCCAGGTGACCGAGAAGTCATGGTCTCTGCTCCAGGGCTTTACCGTGTAGTGGTAAAGACAGGCTTACACCAAGCATTTGCAAAACATTCCGCCAGGGATCGCAAATCTGTGATCCCCTGGGCCAAATCCATACCCACAAAAGTAACCCATTACTTCTACCTTTTTCTGAAAGATTAAAAATCCCAGCAATAGTGAACCTCCATTCTGGCATAGCAGCAAACAGTTCAGACATATCTGCTCCTTTGGGATGAGCCTCTGGTACGATAAGGAAAGACTAGAGACCAGCAATTAAGAGTGTGAACTGAAACCTAGATCCGTCTGGATTTGAACATTGGCTTACCCAATGGATAGCTGTGCAGATGTGGATACAGTATTTAACACATCTGTAAAACGGGGGAAAGCTTGAAACGTACTTCCTCACTCCCTGAGAGGCTGTGTAAGTGAGTTAATATAAAGTTCTTACAACAGTGCTTGACCAAACAGGAAGCTCCTAATAAATGCTAACTGCTATTCTGGTTGTTACCTCTCCTACCTTATCATCAGCCTGCCTTGTTCATTTGCATTACCTGCTGTCTCTTATGTGTAGCTGAGATTGCAATCAGGTAATTACCAACAACAAAGTTTAGTGAAGAACAGCGTAGTAAGGGAGAATGGCCGGGTACACAGACTTAGCCTGAAGGTTGGGAACTCATTGTCGAATGAATGAGTAGTCTCAGAACCAGACCAGAACCAGGAGATGCACTCTGAGGTATAGAAGAAGCCTGGGGACCAGGTTCTCATGTCCCTGAGGATCTCAGAGCCTGGGCCATGCTGAGGGCCTGGGTGGGAGGGGGAGAGCCATGCTCAGGGGCTGGTCATCTCGCAGAGTGCCGAGGCTCCTAACCCGCCTGGGCCCTACCTGTTGGAATTTTTATAGGACAGACTTGGCCAAACTGCTGATATTCTACAAAGACCTGAACCAGAGATCCATCGTGGAGAGCCCGGCCAACAGCGTGAGTGGTGTCCTTCCGGGACCCGGCCCTGTTTGTAAATGTGCCCATCTGCCTCCGCTCTGGGGAGCAAAGTCAGCCCACGGGGATCCAGCCTCTCCCAGCAGGGCTGCTAGAGGCCCGCCAGGCCTGGGCAACGCCAGCAGAGCAAGAGGGAGGAGACCTTCGGGCTTCTTCCTCCGAGCCTCTGCAGGGCCGGCCCGTGACTCCCCGGGGACTGGGGTCACCGCACGGGGCCAGCGGCGGAGAGAGCCCTCGTGGTGACGTGACACGGCCTCCCTTGCAGATCGAGGTGCTTCTTTCCAACTTCGGAGGCCAGCTCGGCCTGTGGATGAGTTGCTCCGTCGTCTGCGTCATCGAGATCATCGAGGTCTTCTTCATCGACTTCTTCTCCATCATTGCCCGCCGCCAGTGGCAGAAAGCCAAGGAGTGGTGGGCCTGGAAGCGGGCACCCCCCTGCCCCGAGGCGCCCCGCAGCCAGCAAGGCCAGGACAATCCGGCCCTCCACGTAGACGAAGACCTGCCCACCTTCACGTCTGCTCTGCACCTGCCTGCAGCCCCAGGGGCCCAGGTGCCCGGCACGCCGCCCCCCAGATATAACACCTTGCACTTGGAAGGGGCCTTCTCCAGCCAGCTCCCAGACACTCAGGTGCCCAATGAGCCTTGAGACAGGGTTGGGAAAGAGATCTAGTCAGGACTGCCAGGCACGGTCTAAGGACTTAGGCCTCGTCTCCCAGTGGCAGAGGGCACCTCCTGTCTCCGTTCTGGGCTTTGGAAACACTGCCTAAAAGCCTGCTGTGGACAAGCCGGGGATGGGCATGGGCAGGAGAAGCCACTGGGCCCTGCCCAGCAGTACAGCTGGCCAGGATGGGCTAGATCCTGTGGCCTGAACTCGGCGCGTCCACATGAGGAAGACTGCAGGCCAAAGCAATGGTGCCGTCTGGTGCGGGCCCAAAGTGAGCTCTTTGCTGGGTGCTGAGAGAGAATGACGCCTCCAGAGCCCCGAGCCAGTGTTCCGCCCGCACCCGGGGCCTCACCAGAGCCAGAGGATGTGGCTTCAGGTAGCAAAGCTACGACCTGATGCCAAAGATAAAAGACAGTACTAGCTGCGGTGCCTACACTGTCCTGGGTCACTGACACCGGGGCAAGGGGTCCTCTGTACCCTCAGGCCCGGACCTGGCCCAGGCCCCAGGAGTGTGTGTGGGAAGGGGTGCAGTGCAGGGAGGCGTAGGGTGTGGCAGACGGCAGGGCTGGGGCCACGGCCCAGTCAAAGGACGTGCGTGAACACTCCTGTCCAGTGGGGTCCTCGTAACCTGACCTCGGCTGCTGCTCTTCCTGACCCGTTCAGCAAGCACCCCTGCGTGGCGCAGTGGCGCACACCTATAATCCTAGCACTCCAGGTGGCTGAGGCGGGAGGTTGCAAGATGGAAAGCACCCTGGGCAGTTCACCTACTTAGAGAGACCCTGTCTCCAAAGGGAAAATTAAAAAGGGCGAGGGATGTAGAAGGCCTGGGTTTCTATCCCTAGTACCGCAGAGAGTCAGACCTTCCTCTACGGCCATCGTCATAGCCTGCGCGCACCAACGAGCCAGCCACTGTGAGATCCCACAGAGCACCACGTTCACCTCCGAGCTCAGGGTCAGCGCAGGGGCAGTGTGCTGGGCGCTGTCTCAGCACTTCTCTAAGCCAGCCTGGGGGACGACAAACTGTTGCCCACGGGCTACGTCCTGCTTCTGTTTGTAAACCAGGAATAGTTTTCCCCGCTTTTAAATAGCTAAAAAAAAAAAGTGTGTGTTTGTGTGTATATGTGTGTATATGTGTGTGAGAGACCCAACATAATGATATGATGTGCAAATTTCAGTGTCCAGAAATAAAGTTTTATTGGCACACTGTCACATCCACATGTTTACATGCTGTGTATGGTTCCTTACAAGCAAAGTTGAATGATTAAAACAACCACAAAACCAGCAAAACCTACCATACTTCTTTTCTGGACCTTTCCAGAAGGAAAAAAAAAAAAAAAACAACCTCTGGATCAGCCCGTGAAAGAAATCCGCCTCTCCCCCGAGCGGGAGGCTCAGGGAGGCTGGGTGCCTCGCCTCCTGTGACACCACCAGGAAGCGCAGGAATTTGGACCCTACGATCTGACTTCACAGTCTGTGCAAATCTCCTCTGTCTGTTTTAAGGGTGAGGCCGGTGTCATTTTGAGTGGGAAGAAGGGAGGCACAACACCCTGGATTTGTCCTTCATCCCTGTGGGGAAAGGTCTGCATTTAGAGACTAATCCCACACCATGGGATGGGATGGGACCGAGGACGCCAGTCTTCCTGAAAGTGAGAGGCCCTGAGGTCCCTCCGGGTGCGTGGATACCAGTTCAACCTGCCCCCCTGGCAGTGGCGGGGGTGACCATCTCTGCCCTGGGTGGCACTTCCGCCGGCCCTCATGGGGAACTGCCAGAAGGCACCCGAGCCAGCAGAAAGGAGGTCATCGCGGCGCCTGCCGGTCGTTGGTCCCTCTCGGAGTGGGGTCTGATCAGGCTGGTCCAGGGCCAGCATCGATTCCTGAGGCACGAGCCTGGCTTCCAATGGGCTGGGGCTGCGTGGCTACAGCCGGTACCAACAGGGAGCTTGTAGTAGATGCTCAGCTGGCGGCTAGCCAGAGAGGAGCTTCCTCCTCCACTGCCCTGGCAGGAGGCGGGTGCTGTGCCCTCAGATTCATGGAATTATCCAGCCTTGGCATGATGTCACAGGCGGGAGCATTTCCAGCCCGGCTGCCGCTGGGTGTGTCACAGGCGAGGCTGCCGGCATCTGGCTCGATTGTCAAGGGCGAACACCCCTGCTGGCTCCAGCTCGCTCCGTTCCTGCCCGGCTGAAGCAGGGCCCCCGCACTGCCCTTTCTCCTCCCGTGCCCCTTCCAGGCCAAGCGCCAGTGACCTCCGCAAGGCCTGGCCCAGCCCCACAAAGCTGGAGCCTCTGCCTTATACGACCTTCTTCCCTGGATACACCTTTTAAAGTTACTATTATAGGGTATGGAACTCAGGGGCACTCTAGCACTGAGCCACATCCCCAGCACTTCTTTAGTTCTTTTCTTTGGGTCGGGGGAGGTTCCGGTACCGGGAATCGAACTCATGACCTTGCGCCTGCCAGGCAGGTGCTGTGCCGCTGAGCTAAATCCCCAGCCCCAGCCCCAGCACTTCTTTTTTTTTTTTTGGTTTTTCTCCGGTACCGGGAACCGAACTCACAACCTTGCGCTTGCCAGGCAGGCGCTTTTGCCGCTGAGCTAAATCCCCAGCCCCCCCAGCACTTCTTAATTTTATCGTAGATAGGGTCTCCCTAAGTTGTCCAAGCTGCCCTTGAATTTGCAACCCTCACCCCTCAGCCCCTCCAGAGCTGAGATTACCACCATAGGCCGCCACGCCTACCCCCGATATAATTTTTATCCTTTCTTGTGTTGCTCTTATTAGCCTCTGTGAGGACAGGAGTGGCGTTGACCGAGACAGGACTGAAGGCGTGTTGACATGTAGGAAAAGTTTGTGGAGCTAATTAAAACAACACCAATAATAAGGACGTTTAATGAACTCTTACTGTTTGCGACAGACTCTGCTAAGCACTTCATACTTATCAGCTCAGGCAGTTTTGACAGCTCAGGTCCTCTTGGAAATAAAGAAGCAGAGACATAGAGAAAGCTCTTACAGCCACTCCACTAGTAACTGGTGGGTCCAGGCCAGTGGCTAGAGCCCGTGAAGGTAGCAAACTGTTTTTCACACAGAAGACTCTCCCCAGATGTCAAGTGGCTCTGCCCCTGAGGAAGTCCTTTTTGGTCCTCTCTGGCTTCGGTTCCAGCCTGCTCAACCCAAAGACCTTTTGGTCCCAGGACACAGGGGAGGGTGGGGAAGGACAACTGTTGTCCAAGACCACTTTTAAAGCAGCCACAAAGGCCAAGAGTCACTGACTCCAAGGGACAATAACCAATAACATTTGTAGGCCACAGGGATGTTTGCTCTTGATGTATCCCCGTCTTCCCAAACTGTGCGAGCTGCAGACCTCTGTGCTCCTCTGACTTCCCCTTCTGAGGCCTGGGGTCCTACAGGTCATCTCCCTGTGAGTCAGAAGCATTCAGCCCAACATATCCCTTGTGAATCTGCCCTCTAAGAGGAGATGGTGAGTAAAGATTCCTGCCTGGCCTGGGGTTGAAAACTCAGGAGAGAGATCTAAGCCGGAAGAGATGTGGCAGTCGTAAAGGTGCGCCTGCCAGGGTGAGGGTGAGGATTCAGTCACCACCGAGGAAGAGCAGGCCAGAAGAGCAGAGGGTTGAGAATGGAGACCCCGGGTCCTCAGCATTTAAGGAGCAGCTGAGGCAGGAGTCTGGGCCAAGGACAAAGCAACACGAGGCTCCCCTCATTACCAGTCTCCCCCTTCCCAGCTTTCCTTCCTCCTGTCCCCCTCCAGCTGCTCCAGGAGGACGTCTCCAGGGGCTGGACCGCAGCACTTCCTGCCCTGCTTCTTCCCCATCACAGCAGCGTGTCTCAGCAGTTTTAGGACGGCTACAGTGTGGACCTCAGATGTCCCCCGTGGGCCCATGGCTCAGCCACCACCCTGTGGAGCTACGGGAAGATGGTGGACCAGTTAGGAGGTGGGGCCTAGCGAGAGGAAGTTAGGTCATTGGAGGCATGGCCGTGAGGAGGGTACAGGGGCTCCAGCTCCTCCTCTTCCCTCTTTGCTTCCCAGCCGCCATGAACAGAACAGCTCTCCCCGCTCCCAAACTCCTTGCTCTGATGCACTTACTGAGTCAGCCCCAAAGCAACAGGGCCAAGCATCCAAGGACTAAAACCTCTGAGAGCAAAAGCAAAAATAAACCTTTCCTCCCGATAAATTGTTTGTCTCAAGTATTTTGTCACAACAGGCAGAAGTTGACTATACAAGGGCTGCTCCTACAGTGAAAATTTTCAGTGGCACTTAGACTTCACTGCCATGCCAGACACTGCCTTTCTTTCTTCTCTCACCCTCCACTCACTCACTCATCCCTCAAGAGCAGGTCCAAATGTTGCCGTCTCTATAGTCTCTCCTTGCCCCTGAGAGTTTGGAATACTATGCACCACTGACTGGTAGAATAAGCAAATCATTCCATTCCCCAGAGAGCAAAGACAAAGTGCTAGTTTGGTGACCGGGTCTAACACTCTCTAATACTGGCTACTTCTGTCTAACAAAGAGAGAGCTGCCTTATAGCCTGTAGTGCTCCGGCTAGGTCAGATTTAGCAACATCGTTTTCCACTGCACTTGCCTTCTCAGTAAGCTTCAGCTTGTAGTTAGTGAGCAGTACTGGTATTTTCTTTAGCCACGTTCATATTCTTGCTTGGTCAACCAGTGTTTACTAAGCACCGTATGAGTTTCCTGTGGCTGCTGTAACAAATTACCACAAATGCAGTGACTTTAAACAACGTGAATTTCTGCCCGTACAGTTTTGGAGGCCAGCACTCTGGAATGAGTCTTACAGGACTTAAGAAGCCAGCAGGACTGCACTCCCTCAGAGGCTCCAGGGAGGATCAATTCCCTTGCGTTTTCCACCTGCTAGAGCTGATTTCTTGGCTCCTGACCCCTTCTATCTTTAAAGCCACCAGAGTAGCATCTTGCTTCAGTCATGATGCAGACAGCTGATGCCACCAAATCTTCCTCCACCTCCTTTTTTAAAGGATATTTGTGCCAGGTGTGGTGATGCATGCCTGTAATCCTATAATCCATGCTCGTAAATACAGGAGGCTGAGGCAGGAGGATCGCTGTGAGTTAAAGCCAGCCTGGGCTACCCAGGGAGATCCTGCCTCAGAACAAACAAACAAACAACAACAACAACAAAAAACCCAAACAGGATATTTGTGATTATGTTTAAGGCCACTTGGATGTTCTTCCCATGAGAAGAGTTTTAATTTAATCACACCTGCAAATCTCTTTTTGTGCCCTGGAAGGTAACTCTCATAGGTACCAGCGAACAGTTTGAAGACATTTTGGGGACCCTGGGGTACCAGTGCTTACTGTGTGTGCTAAGCACCGCACCTCCGTGTCAAGCAGACGACAATCTTTGCCTTCGCTGAACTCACATGCAGCTGAGGCCTAGAGAGACAGAGACAAAGACCATTGACATAAGGAATCACCCATTTCTGGGGTGCTGTGGAAAGAGACAAAGCCAGGAGGGGGCTGGGAGGGCAGGGGCCAGCAGAGTGGCTGTGGTAGTCAGTGTTACTTCATCAGGGGTAAACTGCAGAGGGTATTATCTGAGCAACCTGAAGGAACCATTCAAATAGATATATCTGAGGGAAGCATGCTGTGGGGAGGGGGACAAGCCAGTAGTGGTGGAAAAGTTTCCTTTTAAAAAGTTTCTTTCCAGCGGAATATTATTCAGCCACTAAAAGGAATGAAATATTGCCATGCCTCAAAAATATTATGCTGGTGCCGGGGATATAGCTCAGCGGCACAAGCATGTGCCTGGCAAGCACAAGGTCCTGAGTTCGATTCTCAGCACCCTTCCCCTGAAAGAGATTAAAACACTTAGGCTGGCAGACACAAAAGGTCGTATACTGTATGGTTCCATTTATCTGAAAGACTCAGAGATGTAAACTCAAAGACAGAAGGCAGATTTACAACTGGGCAGGGGAAATGACAATGATTGCTTAGAGGCCGAGGGCTTCCACTTGGGGTGGTGAAAACGTTTTGGAAGGAGATAGAGACGGTGGTCACACAGCACTGAAGCTGTACGCTTTCACTTTACATGAACTTTGTCCCAATGGACATTTTTGAAAAATGTGTTTAAATGAAAAGAATGGAGTTGACTTAAAGGAAAATAATAACTGAAACTATTTTTTAAAAAAGCAAGCTGTATCGATCGTAGAAGCCCAGATAGTGGAAAGTTTGGG